ATCCTACTCACCTCCCCGACCAGCGCTCTCCGGAGACTCCATGCGGCCAATGGGGTCCGCGAGGGGTGTGGGCAGCGGCGATGCGAGCCGGCCCGGATGCATCAACTGCTCTGGCGACTACTGGGTCCGAGCTTCGGCAGCAGCGCATCGGGGCAGCAGCCAAGGGGCCGCGGCGGCGGGGAGGAGGCCGCGGGGCGGGGCGCGCAGCTGCTTCGGGCGCCGGTCCCCTCCCCATCTCCAGCAGCCAGCAGCACAGGTGCGGCCCCGCCCTGTTCCTCGGGCGCCCCCTGCCGACCTGGCCAACAACAACCCCCATCCCCACACCCCTACTCCTCCAGCAGGGTCGTAGCCCTTTGCCCCCTTTGTCGACCAAGGGCTACAGCTGGCCACCGCAGTCCAGGACTCCTGCGCACTGACAAGCTGCGCGGGCTTCGGTCCATCCATCCATAAGTATTTGTGGGGCGCCAACTACGTGAGGCGCCTGGCGGAGCTAGAAAAGGAGGTCGTACAAGAAGGGTCAAAGCAGCACCAGACCCCTCATCCTATAAACCTGGACTTGTGGATTTAATTAATGCTATATGAATCCATACTGAGAGTTCAAGGCCGGGGGTGGAGCTCAGGGGTTGGTGACCTGGATAAAGAAGGCCTTGGACTATTGAGAGCCCACAATTGGAGTCCCATCTCTAAACGCCAGTCCTGCCTGCACCCGGCCTGCTTGCATTGCACAGGGTACTGAATAGTTTTATGTCAACTTAACACAAGCTGAAGTCATCTGAGAGGTAGGAACCTTAATTAAGAAAATGCCTTCGCAATGGCCAGCTGTGGGGCATTTTCTTATTAATTATTGATGTGGGCGGTACCAGCCCATTGTGGGTAGTGCCAACCCTGGGTTGGTGGTCCTGGGTTCTGTAAGAAAAATAGTCTGTGCAAGACATGAGGAGCAAGCCAAGTTTCTCCATGGCGTCTGCATCAGCTGCTGCCTCTAGGTTCCTGCCCTGACTTCCTTTGATGGTGAATAATTCTGTGGAGGCACAAGCCAAATAAACCCTTTCCTCCCCAAGTTGTTTTGGTCGTAGGGTTTCATCGCAGCAATGCTAACCCTAAAACACACAGTATCTCCTTACTCCTCCCAGAGAGCTGAAGATGCCGACCTCAGAGACAGTAACTTTCCCCAGGTTGCATATTCAGGGCTAGAAGTCAGAAAGCCCAACTTGAAACAAAGCAAGTATCCGGGAAGATGGGTTCATTATCCTGAGAGAGGTGAACTGATGGATAAGTTTGATCCTGCCCCGGGCAGAATGGACGGCTAGAAGGGCAGTGGTCAAACAGCTTCATTCATTCAGTAGGATGGGAGTGAAAGCTCTGGCTTCCTGCCCAGATCTAGTGGACCCTAGGTAGTCTGTGGCCTTTGAGCCTGAAGGCCAATTCCAGAAAGTTAATAGTTCTGCTTTTCTTTATTTATTTATTTATTATGTATGCAATATTCTGTCTGTATGCCTGAAGGCCAGAAGAGGGCGCCAGACCTCTTTACAGATGGTTGTGAGCCACCATGTGGTTGCTGGGAATTGAACTCAGGACCTTTGGAAGAGCAGGCAATGCTCTTAACCACTGAGCCATCTCTCCAGCCCCAGTTCTGCTTTTCTTTAGTTTACAAAACAAGGAAACAGCTACCTGCTGGTTGCTGGTTAAGGCCCTCTGAAGCTGAGGTAAATGGTCATTCTTAGTCATTAGTTCCCTGCCTGGGGCAAAGCTAGGGTATAGGGTTAGCACGAGAGAGAGAGATCATTGACCACCTTGGTGACCACTGACCATAGTGTTTGGGCATAGGCCACTCCTAGTCAGCTGGGGCAGCAATGTTGTGTTTTTCAAAATGCCATGGAGCCAACCATGGGGCTACACACTTAGAATCCCAGCACTTCACAGGTAGAGGCAGGAGGAACAGGAGTTCAAGATCATCCTCTGTTACACAGCCGCTCTGAGGTCAGCCTCGGCTGCAGGGGACCCTGTCTCAACAAACAAACCCCAAAGCACCGGATGTGATCCTTCCGGAACCATTCCCATCAGGGCACTTCATTGTTGTCAGAGCCTGTGACTGCATCGGCCAGTGGAGAACGGTAGATGTGATACCAGGTGACATCCAAGGCTAGGTCATAAGAAAAGTCCAGCTTCCTTGGAAGGCTCCGGTAAAAACCAGGTCACCGTGTGGTGAGAAAACCAGGCTACCCAGACTTCACTTGTGTATGTTCTGACTGGCAATCTCTTTGAGATCCTGGCCAACAGCTGGCCTGACTATGCTCAGGTGGTTCCAAATGCTACTTTTGAGTTTTCCAGGAAGAGAGTGATAAGGGGGCGGGGTAGGCTGCCCCAGTAAGTCATAGCCAAGTTTCAGATTCATGAGCAAAACCGGTTAGGTACTGTATTGCCTCTGTGCTCTAGGGTTCCTTGTTACACAGACAGTATGTTTATATATGATTTATTTTTTATTTTATGTGCACTGGTGTCTTGCCTGCATGTTTGTCTGTGTGTGTGATGGTGTCATATCTTGGAGTTGCAGACAGTTGTGAACTGCCACATGGGTGTTGGGAATTGAACTGGGGTCTTCTGGAAGAGCAGTCAGTGCTCTTGACTGCTGAGTCATCTCTCCAGCCCACAGTCAGTATCTGGTAACAGCAATTTTTGTTTAGTGGTGCTTTCCGGATGAAAGATAGGAACAGGCTCTTGTCAAAGATGTCCATGCTTGTCACTGACAGGTGGTATGATTTTTGAGCCAGCGTCTGTTTTATCTTTGCATATCCATGAAGGACCTTCTCAAAACACACAGTAGGGAGAACAGCATCATATGCCCACCTTTAACCCCAACCCAACAAGTAACCAGGTTATAAGTGGCCTTCTCTGTGTTCAGCCACCTTCCTCTACACTTAATGTTCTGAAGCAAATTTCTAAACACACCTCATCATTTCATTTTCGAATATTTCAACATTTACTTCTAAGATAAAGACCAGTTTTGTCAAACCATCATCTATGCCTTCAGTGTGTTGACGCAGCGGGCTATGGTAGCTTAATTAGTCAACCAACTGGTTTTGAGAGGAGCCAAACCTTAGAGGATTGGTTAGTTGATTTGTGGGTATCAACGTTTGCTCTAGGATTTTTCAGGAAACTGATGTCATGTGTCTGGCCTTCTGAACTGCACTGCTTGGTGTGGATTAAAACTTTCTGGCTGGGCAGGGGTGGTTTAATCCCAGCACTCAGAAGGCAGAGGCAGATGGATCTCTGTGAGTTCGAGGCCAGCCTGGTCTACAGAGTGAGCTCCAGGACAGCCAGGGCTGTTACACAGAGAAACCCTGCCTCGGAAAAAAAAAAAAGACAAAAGAAAAACCACAACAAACAAACAACAGAATGTTCTTAAGCTGTAGATGTGAAGAAAAGGCTCTTTTCTGAATATCATGACCTAAATTCTGCATGAGCCGCCCTTATCTGGGTGGGTCTTGTTGGATCCTAGGGAATCTCCAGTCTGTGCTCCCCAAGCTGTTCATCATTGTAATCCCACACTGAAAAGTCAAGCTGTTCTGTCGATTTCTGCCAAACAGAAACCCTGTCTATGCTATCTGAACTAGTTTTCCTATTCTTGCCCTTTTTGCTGAAAGGTGTTGTTTTTTGTTTATTTGTTTTGGTTTTTTGACAGTTTCTCTGTGTAGCTCTGGCTGTCCTGGAACTCACTCTGTTCAGTCCAGGCTGGCCTCGAACTGGGAGGTCTGGCTGCCTCTGCCTGCCAACGTGCTGGGGTCTAAAGGCGTGCACCACTACGGGCCAGCTGAAAGGAGTTGCTGGTACATTTATTTAGTTCAGGATTCCCCAGTAGACTAACGGAGCAAAACTGCAAATCCACGTGAAGCACCTGTCGCGCTGTGGGTAAGTGCTAAGCCATTACTTGACTGTGTTACTTCACCGCCTCACCGCCAAATCTCCTCTGGGAGACTCCTAAGCCCTCTCCCCTCTGTGCTCACCTTAGAATTCACTGTCAGAAAGCAGGCTGGCAGTCGTGCTGGCTTTGTTAAGGTTTACTGTAAATAAGTCTCTAACTGTAGAGGTTCACAAGGATTCAGTACTCTTCTTCCAGCTAGCCTTTCTTTCCCCAAGAATCTCTGTGGGGCGGGGGAGGGAGGCAAACAAGAGGAACTCGCTGCTATGTCTGATCCCCTCTACTGGGCGAGCCTTTCTCTCTTGGTTGGATGCAGATGCATCCAGTTATGGTTGTGGAATCTTCAGCCACAAAGCAGACAGGACTTGCTGCCCCTTCTGTTTCTGGGGACGGAAACCAGGACACTCAGCATGGCTTTGCAAGAGCTCTGCTACTGAATTTCATGCAGCCCCAGTCCTGCCAGGCCACCTTTTCCTCTTGCCGCGCCTACCCCCCTATTTGAGCCAAGCTCTTGGTGTGTAGCTCTGGCTGGATTAAAACTAAAACTATGTAGCCCAGGCTAGCTTCCAACCCAGACGGTTGGTCTCCCTCTCAGCTTCCCCAGTGCAGGGATTACAGGCATAAGATAACACTCCCAGCCTTTTTCTTTCAGAGTTTCTGGAAGCTCAGCTATGTGTTTTCAGTCTCATCAGGGCAGCACATGATAGGAATTTTCACAAGCGAGGCAAGGTGGATGAACTGCAAGAGCGGACTCTTAGCTCATATTTGAATCCAATTTGGGAACTGAGCTTGGATGGCAGATTAATCAGACATTCTCTCCTTTATCTATTCTTCCCGAAGTGCCCGTCAAGTAGACTCTGGAGAGCCGAATGAACCACAGTCATCTCTTTTGTAGCTCAAGTTCTAGCGGGAAGGAGACCAGCAATAAACTGAAGCTCCCAACTGTTTATCTCTTCTTCTGGTGCGTCGTTAGGGACGCACTCCGCGTTGTCGAGGTCCCTAGGGGTGGGTGGGGCGGTGGCTCTGAGGAGAGTCTCGCGAGGATTTGGGAACCAGCGCGGGATCTCGTCCGGGTTGCCAGGAGACAGCGCAGCCTCGGCAGACCATCGCCTATCCCGGAGTAGTGGCGGTGCGGAACTGCTGGCAGCATGGTGAGTCCGGCCAGTGCTCTGGGTCTCCAGTGCACAGAGAACGGGGATTTTCGCTCCGAAATGCGGATATGGTTGGGTTCCGGGGACTGGGAGGCCCGGGCGTAGCGGCCTGCATTTTTGGATGACTAGAATGGAGAACTGGGCGCTTCCGTGAGGTCCCACTTGGGGAGGCCAGGATGCCGGGGCCTGCATGCACTTGAACTAAGGTTTGGCCCTTCGGTTCTCGGGGCTGGTCGTCGAACTGGCCAGACTGAGAGCCTGGTGTGCAAGGTGTCCAGAAGTCGGAAGCTGAGTCTGCCAAATCCTGGGGATCTAGGATTCCATCTCATATGGGCTCTGGGGCACTTAAGGTGCACAGGATCAGAGTCCGGTTCCGGAGAAACCCTAGGAACTGTCTGGGAGGTGGAGAACCTGATGCATCATCCCACGGTGGCTAAGGTCCCTCTCTACTAGGGATGTTAGAGAGGGCCGAGTGTCATAGTGTGATCAGCGTATCACCTTGGGTTTCAGAGACCTCAGGCTCCTTAGACCTTCCTCGTATAATGATGCCCTTCCCCTTCGGACACAGGTGTTGGCATTAGTGCAGTCTCTTGGCAGGTGTGCCAGGAGGTGGGTCATCAGCTGACGGGGTGACTTCTCCCTGGGGGAGCTCCTGCCTGGAAACATCGTGAATAGTAACTGCTGTTGAATTTTCCCTGAAAGCGTTTATGACCTTACCACGCCGCTAAAATAATGCAGGACCCATGTGAGCAGTTTCTGCTGGAAACACGTTTACAGACACGCACGAGTGCACGTGCTGTTTGCTCACTCCTGACTAGAGCTCTCTGTAGTTTATGATTTGGAAGAAACGAGCCTCAGGTTTGGTCATTGCTCTGAGGTCACTCTTTCCTACATTTGCACTGATAAGAACTCGATCTTAGCTAGAAGGCTAATTCTCTGTTACTTGGTAAGTTTCTTGCGTGTGTTCCTGTGGTGGTTGTGAGGCATGATAGCGCTGTGTGTTCCTCCATTTTTAGCTCAGGTAAGTTTTTTTTTTTTATTTTAGGTTTCCATACTACCCCTCAAAAGCACCTTAATTTCTTTCTCCATATTCCTTCCCTCAACCCCCTCTTATTTTATTTATTTATTTATTTATTTATTTATTTTTGCCACACCAAAGAAATCCTTGCCCTTTTCCCAGGAATGAATGGTCTTGGAGTGACTCCTTTCTTTCCCTTTTGGAAAGAGAAGGTGTTCTTTTCTGAAGAGGAGAATTTCTTCTCTGTGTTTCTCCAAATGTGTTAATGATCTCCCTTCCCCATGTACACGTGGTTCACGGGCATGACTGTGAGGAGGGTCAGTACAGTGATGCCCTCTGCATGAGAGCTCCAGTGAGCGGTGTGTGAACTAGCAGAGGCCTTGGTTCTCGACAGGTGCGCCTTCCCATAATGCCCATGGAAGCATACTCTATTTGAGAGAGTAGCCTTTACTTACTCAGCCATCTCTTCCTCAAACACAGGCACCCAAAAAGAAAGGGAAGAAAGGCAAAGACAAGGGCAACCAGATTGTGGATGGGCTCGCACCAGAGGACATGACCAAGGAGCAGGTGAGCACAGCCCTTCTAAATGTCTGGCCCCAGGGTGGGCTCTGCTGCAGATGTGTTGGCGACTCACCCGCTCTTCTGCTTGCCCGTCTCCTCTCTGTCTGTCTGAGTGTAACATGCTTATCCTAAGTCTGCAGTTTCCACCCCACCCCCACATTGCATGTTTTTAAAAAATGTAATAAGTCCATGTGAAGAAACTTTTTAATAGGAACTTGGAAGGGTCCCCCCAGCCCTGAACGTAATAGTTATTTTTAACTTTGTGTATTTTTCTTTTATTCTTACCTTTCTAATGTACCCATTGTTCATAGAGCTGATACATATGTGATAATACATATATGCCATTCTTTGTTTGCCAGTGAACATTATAGCAAAAGGCAAGTTTTTAGCCTACTGTGATGACTCATGCCTTGGGAGGCAGAGGCAGGTGGATCTCTGTGAGTTTAAGGCCAGTCTAATCTACATAGGCAGTTCCAGGACAGTCAGACTACAGAGAGAGTATCTGTTTCAAAAATCCAAAATAAAAGAAGAAGAAGAAGAAAAAAAAAGGATGAAAGTTTTAAAAGTAACATGATTGGCGGGGGTGGGGGGAGATCATAAGGGAACGGGGATGGCCGAGATGGGGGAAGAACAGAGAGGAAGAGCAAGGAAAGAGATATCTTGATTGAGGGAGCCATTACAGAGCTAGCAAGAAACCTGGCACTAGGAAAATTCCCAGGAATCCACAAGGATGACCCCAGCTAAGACCCTAAGCAATAGTAGAGAGGGTGCCTGTACTGGCCTTGCCCTGTAGTCATACTGATGACTACCTTAAATGTTATTGTAGAACCTATATCCAGCAACTGATGGAAGCAGACACAGATCCAACAGCTAAGCTCTGGGCTGAGTTCCCAGAGTCCAGTCAAAGAGAGGGAGGAGCAATAATATGAACAAAGGAGTCAAGACCATGATGGGAACACCCACAGAAACAGCTGACCTGAGCTAGTGGGAGCTCACTGACTCCAGACTGACAGCAGGGGGACTGAATAAGACCACACTAGGCCCTCTGAATGTGGGTGACAGTTGTGTGAACGGGGCAGTCTATGGGGCCACTGGCAGTGGGACCAGGACTTATCCCTAGTGCTTGAACTGGCTTTTTGGAGCCCATTCTCTTTGAAGGGATAGCTTGTTCAGCCTAGATATAGGGTGGGAGGCCTTGGTTCTGCCTCAGAGTGATGTGCCAGACTTTGTTGACTGCCCATGGGAAGCCCTACCACACTCTGAGGAGTGGATGGGGTGTGGATGGGGGGAGGTAGAGGAGCTGGAGGAGGAGAGGAAGTAGGAACTGGGATTAGTATATAAAATGAGAAAAGATTGCTTAAAAAAAAAAAAAAGAACATGATTTACCTAAAATTACACTGTCTCCATCTGATTAATCATCCGCTCTTTTTAAAATTATTGTTATTTCTTTTGTGTGAGTTTTATTTCCCTCCACAGTGTAGGGTCTGGGACTGAACTCAGGTTTTCAGGCTTGGCACCAGGTACCTTTACCTGCTGAATAATTTTGCTGGCTTGTTGCTGTTTTATTTTTGACAACACTTCCAACAAGGAGTAGCTCTATTGGAGCTGTCTGTTTCTTATTGCCTGTGCTTAGTTTGGGCGGAGGTTTTCTTCCTTTATTTAACTTTTGTTAAGGTGCGTGCTCTACCACTGAGCTATATTCCTGATTCTGGGATGATGCCTTTATCATACCTTTTGGTAGTGTTGAAGATTGGACTTGGGGAGGTTATGTCCTTCTACAAATTATTTTAGGACATATATATATTAGGACATATATATATATATATATATATATATATATATGTAAAAGGCTGGAGAACATAATTAGAAAACCTAACAAGGTTCTTGACAGCTACAACATGTGGCAAACGGTGTATCCACCTGGGTCTGTGTTGATGATGACCGTGTTGTGAGGTTTTGACACAGACTGGAGGGTTATATGCAGCTGTGTTAATAAGACTTACTATTTTATTTTTCTAAGGTTTATTTATTTATTATGTATTCAGTGTTCTGAATGCATTATCTGCAGGCCAGAAGAGGGAACCAGATCTCATTATAGATGGTTATAAGCCACCATGTGGTTGCTGGGAATTGAACTCAGGACCTCTGGAAGAGCAGCCAGTGCTCTTAACCTCTGAGCCATCTCTCAAGACTTACTATTTTAATAGTTTAAGATAATATGAAGGAGATTCAGAGAGTGATATAAGCTAAAATTGGAGTTGGACCTGGCTCGAGTATTGGTGATTTTAGAGGCAAAAGACTAAAAAATAAGAGCCAAATTTCCATACTTTAGCAACCATGCGTGGCCACTTGGTGCCTGCCTCCTAGTGATGTGTGTGATATCGTACGCAGACAGCTGGAGCCTAACTCCTAAGGACTTGGGGTACCGTACACTGCTGGCCAGTCTCAAGAAAAACAATCTGTGCTATAAATGTACTACATACAAGACAGTGCGATGTCCCCCAACCCCGTGAACCCAGATATGGACCCCACACAAATGGCTGGTGAGATAAAAATCAAATAACTTCCCCTCAACTACCATAAAAACTTCCACCCTCTTTCCGCCATGAGAGAACTTGCCTCTAGGAACTTCCTGCTGCTGTTTGCAGCAGTTTCAGTAAATCTACTCTAATCTTCTCTGTCTCGGTGTTCTAGATAATTTCTTTTCTTTCTCCCCCCCACCCACAGGGTTTCTCTATAACTTTGGAGCCTGTCCTGGAACTAGCTCTGTAGACCAGGCTGGCCTCGAACTCACAGAGATCCACTTGCGTCTTCATCCCGAGGGCTGGGATTAAAGGTGTGCGCCACCACCGCTTGGCTGTATAATTTATTTTTATTTTATTTGCATTGGTGTTTTGCTTGCAGGTATGTAGGGTGTCAGATCTTGGAATTACAGACAGCTGTTAGCTGCCATGTGAGTGCTGGGAATTTAGTCAGTGTTCTAAACTGCTGAGCCATCTCTCTATCCCCTGAACTCTGGTGTTCTTAGCTTTTTGATTTTTCGAGAGAAGTTAGAAATTTGGATATTTATAAGAAATCCAAATAGCAATTGGTGACAAACTCTGACACTAAGCCAATAGAACAGGACTCTGTGACTGTTGGAGTACAGCAAAGGCCGTGACATGAAGGCACTGCCGGACACTGCCAGTGTGTGTGTGTGACAGCACCGAGGCTGGGCAGATTCTGCGGGGCCGTGTGCGCCCATAGGCACCTAGCCCCTGCCCAGCCCCTTCCTCAGAGCCCCTTGGCTGCTTTTTGTCTTGTTTATTGAAATGGAAGATATGGTTTCCCTGTGTGAAATGTATCTTGAAAGAGAAAATACTGCACCGTAGCTGTCCTGGGGCTGTGCCTAAACATAACTCATTCTTGCGGGAAGCGAGGGCCCAAGAACGCTGGAAGCCTGCCCTACTTTCCTCCTTAACCTATTTGCAGATTTATAATTGGCTCTGGACAGAGTCGGTTGTGTAATTTTTTACTAGTGTTTCCAGTGGTCTTTTTATTTTTATTTTAATATTTTATGTTAAGATTATGTGCTTCTGTGTAATTTTTATATCTCTTAAGTTGATGTGCTCCAATTTTTTTTCCTTTTTTGGTTTTTTGAGACAGGGTTTCTCTGTGCAGCCAGCCCTAGTTGTCCTGGAACTAGCTCTTATAGACCATGTTGGCCTCAAACACAGAGATTCGCTTGTCTCTGTTGGGATTAAAGGCGTGCACCACTGCTGCCCGGTGTATTCCAATTTTCAACCATTTTCCTGTTTAAAATTGTATATTATTTCCTTTTAAAGTGTTTTTGTTTTGAGTTTTTTTTAATTCTTATTTATTTATTATGTATACAATATTCTGTCTGTGTGTATGCCTGCAGGCCAGAAGAGGGCACCAGAAGTGTTTTGGGGGGCTGGAGAGATGGCTCAGAGGTTAAGAGCACTGACTGTTCTTCCAGAGGTCCTAAGTTCAATTCCCAGCAACCACATGGTGGCTCACAACCATCTGTAATGAGGTCTGGTGCCCTCTTCATGTCCAGCAAGCATACAAACAGACAGAACACTGTATACATAATAAATAAATAAATTTTTTTAAAAAAGTGTTTTATAGTTAATAACAATGGGAATACTAATATTGCTGAACAAAAATAATGCCTGTGTTTTTTTTTTCTTTTTTGTTTGTTTGTTGATGTTTTAAAATAGGGTTTCTCTATGAAACAGTTCTTGCTATCCTGGAACTCACTCTGTAGACCAGGCTGGCCTCTGTCTTTCAAGTGCTGGGATTAAAGGCATGCGTCACCACCGCCTGCCTTGAGAAATTTCTTAAAAGAATCCAGAAGTTGCTGAACAGATTTAATTGTTTTGTAATTCTTTGCCAAATTTAAGAAACTTTTGCTGTTTACTGTCTCTGGAGCATTCCTGCTTTGTATTTAACTTTAGTAAGGTGACCCCCCCCCTTTTTCTTCCCTGCTTCCCTTGGTCCGCACACTCTGGTGGTGGCTGGGCTTTTGCAGGGCGCCTCACTTGATGCCCTGTGCCTGGCCAGGTGGAGGAACATGTTGCCCGCATCCGGGAGGAGCTGGATCGGGAGCGAGAGGAGCGTAACTACTTTCAGCTAGAGCGTGACAAAATCCACACTTTCTGGGAGATCACAAGAAGGCAGCTGGAGGAAAAGAAAGCTGAGCTTCGAAACAAAGACCGTGAGATGGAGGAGGCAGAGGAGAGGCACCAGGTGGAGATCAAGGTGAGTAGAGTTGGTCTGTCAGTGCCCGCTGGCGTCACGGGGCAGCAGCACAGAAACAGGTCCGGAGGACACTTCCTGCTTTTCTTTGGGAATAAACTCCTTTGCTTGTGTTCTTTGTACTGTGAACCAGAGGCAGTTTTTCTTTTCTTTTCTTTCTTTTTTTTTTTTTCGAGACAGGGTTTCTCTGTATAACAGCTCTTGGCCATCCTGGAACTCACTCTGTAAACCAGGCTGACCTTGAACTGATAGAGATCTACCTGCCTCTGCCTCCCAAGGGCTGGATAAGTGTGCCACCATTGCCTGGCTGAGGCAGTTTTTCTAAGAGTCAGAGGAAAGTTGCAAAGGTGATTTGGCTGTGTCATTTGTCACCTCTTTGATCACCTGCATCGATTCTGTTGATTAACCTGGACTAGGTGAATGACTAGCCACCTCTTCCTGCACTGTGTGCTCTGTGGAAGAGGACCGCTTCCTCCGATGAAATAGGATAGGACTGCGGTAAGGTCCATGTGTAGGTGTGCCACGAGCAGCTCTGAATTCAGCCAAATATGGAAAGTACTGAAACCTAGAGCTGGGTATGGTGGTGCACGCCTGTGATCCCAGATGCAAGAGGGCCAGAGCAGTCGTGTGAGACCAGCCTGGGCTACTGGAAACCCTGTCTCAAAACAAACAAAAACATGAGGTGTTGATTTTTATTCATTTGTTTTTCATAACTGAATGACCTGTCACAGTGTCCACTGTGCTCCCGTTAGAGCCTCCCAACAGTCTCTGAGGAGGAAAAGGGGAAGCAGGTCCTGAGTCTCTGACTCAAAGCCTCTGAATGGTGGGAGTATGAGCAGGCTGCCCTTTACAGTTCTGCTGCCACTTAGCTGCTTGGGAGCTGGGCACGCACTGGTGCTGCAGATGAGCTTGCGGCGCCCACCCTCACGCCCCTTGCAGGTGTACAAGCAGAAAGTAAAGCACCTGTTGTATGAGCACCAGAACAACCTGGCGGAGGTGAAGACCGAGGGCACTGTCGTCATGAAGCTGGCCCAGAAGGAGCACCGCACACAGGAGGGCGCACTGCGCAAGGACATGCGGGCGCTGAAAGTGGAGCTCAAGGAGCAGGAGCTGGCTAATGAGGTGGTGATAAAGAACCTGCGTCTGGTAGGTACAGACTGTGCTTCGGCGGCTGTGGAGACGGGGAACCTAGCCATCTTTGACATCCAGTGACTTGTGTTTTTGTGCAAAAATGATCAGAGGTTTTTAACAAATAAGACATTAGCAAAACTTATTCAAATTTGTAATATGTAGGGGTGGGAGAAATGGTTTAACAGTCAAGAGCACTGGCTTTTCTTCTAGCAGATGTGGGTTCAGTTCCCAGCACCCACATGGCAGCTCACAACTATCCGTAACTCTAGTTCCAGGGGATCCAACAGTTTCTTCTGGCTTTTGTGAACACCAGACACACATGTAGTATACTGACATACATATAGGCCAAATACCCATACACAGAAAATAAAAATCTGAGCTGGCTCAGTGGTTAAGAGTACTGGTGGCTCTTACAGAAGACCTGAGTTCAGTTCCTATCACTTGTACAGTGATTCACAACTGCGTGTGACTCCAGGACACGATGCCCTCTTCTGTCCTCCATATGCACCAGACTCGCAGATGCTGCAGACATAATACTCGCATACATAAAATTAAATAATAATTAAATGATAAATCTTACAAAAATTGTAGCATGTAATTGCTTATTAAAATAATCTCTGAGCTGGACTTGGTGGTACACAGGAGGCAGATGCAGGTGGAGTGTTCAAGGCTAGCCTTGTCTACAGAGTAAGTTCCAGGATGGCTAGGGCTACACAGATAAACCTTGTCTCAAAAAACCAAAATAATCACCATCTCTTTTTTTTTTAAATATTTATTTACTTATTATGTATACAATATTCTTTCTGCCTGTATGCCTGAAGGCCAGAAGAGGGCATCAGATCTCATTTCAGATGGTTGTGAGCCACCATGTGGTTGCTGGGAATTGAACTCAGGACCTTTGGAAGAGCAGGCAACACTCTTAACCACTGAGACATCTCTCCAGCCCCTAATCACCATCTCTTATACTACTCTAAGCAATAGCGAGGCAGGCTATCAGGAGCCCGCTGTCCCGTGTAGATGTGGCTGCTGTTTCTGGCTTTTCATAGGTTGGATGAGGAAACCAAGCCATGTACGGTACTCATGTCTGTACTGTCTGTCAGATTCAGAGGTGACTCCCCTGGGGAAGTGAGTTATGTATGAAATGTGGAGGTTCTCAAAGCCATGTTATTGGGCATGCTCTATGATGTGGAGGTAAGGAGAATCCAGAAAGCAGCAATAGCACAGGGGTTACTAAACTGCATTTCCCCACAGGTAGTAGAGTCGTGGGTTTCTCTGTCTGGCTTTCTAGTAACACCCCCTTCTCATTTGTGCAGAAACATGCTGAGGAGATCACCAAGATGAGAAATGACTTTGAAAGGCAAGTTCGAGGTCAGTTTCGCAGTTGTACAGGGTGTAGGATGGTGCCCCTCCCATCACTGCTTGGTAACTTGAGACACATAAACCATATTAAAGGAGCTCAGTAACACACACACACACACACACAGAGGGAGGGTGGGGGGAGACAGTGAGGAGAAGAGAGACAGAAAGAGAGTTTTTTGTTTTTGTTTTTGTTTTTTTTTTGTTTGTTTGTTTTTTTTTTTTGGTTTTTCGAGACAGGGTTTCTCTGTGGTTTTGGAGCCTGTCCTGGAACTAGCTCTTGTAGACCAGGCTGGTCTCAAACTCACAGAGATCCGCCTGCCTCTGCCTCCCAAGTGCTGGGATTAAAGGCGTGCGCCACCACCGCCCGGCTGTTTTTGTTTTTTTACTTTAGTTTTTTGTTTGTTTTTAGACTTCTCTGGGTAGCCCTGGCTATCCTGGAACTCACTTTGTAGACCAGGCTGGCCTCGAACTCACAGAGAAGCTGCTGCCTCTGTCTTCTGAGTGCTGGGATTAAAGGTATACACCACCATGCTGGGGTCACTAGAGAATATTAAGAGCCACAGAAAAGCTCAGCCCCATGTGAACTTGGGGAGCTGTGGTCAGCGCCCACATCTCCATTCTGTCTCAAGCGAGCCGTCATCAGCATGCAGCACTTTATTCAGGCGTCTCCTTAGCTCCTGCTTTGAAAAGCCTTCCGTGTCTGAAGTCCATCTGCTTGTTGACTGAGCCCTACAGTGTGTGACTGGACAGGCACATGGGCCATGGTTAGTGTGCACTGGGAGTAGTGAGGGACAGCCACTGCAGTCATCAGTTATCACAGACAGGAAAGCTGGTCGTGGCCTCTGTGCTGACTAGGTCACTTGCAGGAAATATCCACTAAAGCCTGTCTGGCTCCGGCAGGTGGCCTGCGCAGCCTCCATTCTGACCCTGACCGGTATTCTCGAGCACTGTTTATCGGTTCCATCTTTTCCCGTGGCTTTGGGTCACCTGTTTTTCTAAGCTGCTGTGTGTGCTGCTGCCTTTCAGAAATTGAGGCCAAGTACGACAAGAAGATGAAGATGCTGAGAGATGAGCTGGACCTGCGGAGAAAGACTGAGATCCACGAGGTGGAGGAGAGGAAGAATGGGCAGATCAGCACGCTAATGCAGCGCCACGAGGAAGCCTTCACTGACATCAAGAACTACTACAATGACATCACTCTGAACAACCTGGCCCTAATCAATTCCCTCAAGGTACTGACGTGGTCTGGGAGACAGGGCCTGGGGACGCAGACCCGGTCTGCAGGCCCACCAGATCTAACACTCCCTCCTAAAATAAGATTGGAGAGTGTCCCTCTGTTACCCTCAGATAAAATTAAAGGTGTTCTGACATGTAAATGCCTAGGCAGGGCTACCGAAGGCGCTGCATATTGACTGACGTGTGGCCGCAGTTGGCGGTTGTCATTGTGTGTAAATGCTGACAGAATGGTGTCAGTTCATCCCATCAATCACTGCTTGGTCATTTTGGACATGTCAATACTGGCGGGGTTTCCACAGTAGAGAATTGCCTTTGGTCTAAACAAACCCTCTCAGCGTGCATGGACATTCTGTTACGTAATTCAGCAGAGCTTGCGACTGCAAAGCTGCCGCTTACCCATAAAAGAAGACCTGCTCCTCAGCGTGCTTGTGACAGGGCCTCACAGGGTAGTTCCAGCTGTCCTAGAACTCGCCATGTAACCAGGCTGGCCTCAGACTCTCGGAGATCCACCTGCCTCTGCCTCCTGAGGGCTGAGATGAAAGGTATCTGCCTCAGGATCAGTTTTTCCTTGAGGGAATCCATCACTGGATATGGTGGCGCAAACCTGAAATCCCAGTGCTAACGAGGTAGAGGCAGGACAAAGCCAGCCTAGGCTGGTTAGGGAGACATTGTCTTAGAAAAACAAAAAGTGTCAGTGAGGTGGTTCTGTGGGTGAAAGTGCTTCCCCTGCAAACCTGACGTCCCGAGCTGTAGCCCTGGAACCCATAGCAGGAGAGAATTAGCCCCTGAAAGCTGTCCTCCTGCCTCCGCGAGTATACTGTGGCATGCACACCCATGCTCACACGCATGTCAAACACTCATAATAAAATGGAGGGCGTTTGGCCAGTGCTCCCAGGCCAAGCCCCTGTATGTGCACTGTGCTAACAGGAGCAGATGGAGGACATGCGGAAGAAAGAAGAACACCTGGAGAGGGAGATGGCGGAGGTGTCTATGCAGAACAGGCGGCTGGCAGACCCTCTGCAGAAAGCGAAGGATGAGATGAACGAGATGCAGAGGAGAATTGGGAACTATGAAAGGGACAAGCACATCCTGATTGTGAGTTTCCTACTGAATTCTTTCCCCTCCTCTGAATCCTCTTTCCCTCCCTGCTGGGCCCAGGAGGGAAAGCGTGGGAGGGAATGTCTTCTTGAGGTCCTTGTGAGCAGGACTCATCCTTAGCGCAAAAAAGGGGACATGGTGATGCTGGAGTTTCTTTTTCTTGAGCTCCTCTGGAGCTATAAGTAGGCAGGCACTGTTGTAGACGGACCCTCGTTTTCCACACATTCCACTCATAGCTTGAGTGGGGCCCAGCTGCGGGAGTCTTCCAGCCAGTTGTGCCTGATGGTTTTTTTCTGATCTTGCTGTCTCCAGGAGTCTGTGAATCCTAAGTATTTTATGTCCCCTACTCCCTGATTTCCCTGCAGTGCACAAAGGCACGTTTAAAGGTTGTTGAGAAAGAGCTGAAAGACCTGCAGTGGGAGCACGAGGTGCTGGAGCAGAGGTTCATCAAGGTGAGCAGGCGGGGTGCGTGGCCGGGCTCTGGACTGGTGAGCGAGATGCACCCTCCTCCCTGCTCCTAATCTGCACTTCTGTTGTTTGTTTGTTTGGAAATAGGGTCTCACTGTTTCATTCAGCCTGGTCGTAAACTCCTGGGATCTGGCATCTCCTAATTTAGCCTCCTGAATAGCTGGAATTATAGGTGTGTTTGCACACAACTTTTTGTTTGTTTGTTTTTGTTGTCTGAGCCGGGTTTTTCTGTGTAGCCTGACTGTTCTGGAACTTGATCTGTAGATCAGGCTGGGCTCAAACTCAGAGATCCACTTACCTCTGCCTCCCAAGTGCTGGGATTAAATACGCGTGCGCCACCACCGCCCGGCTCTCCATGGTTTCTTTACAGTGAATAGGCAATAATAGTCAGTACTAAAAATGTACAACACAGATGGAATCACAGGGACCAAGCCTCCTCCACAAACTGATAGGCCACCAGGAAACCTGGTTCTTGTGAGATTTGGGGCCTTCTACAAAATATACCAATAAAAAAAAGAAACCATAGGGTAAAGCCAAGTGTGGAACACAACTATAAACTAAGTCCATAGGACTACATGAGGATACTCTGTCTCAAAATTAATTAATTAATAATTGCATCTTATCACTTTGATAAAGAAACAAAAAAAAAACCACTCTTTAACCTGAATTCCCAGGCCACTAATGTAAACATTTGGGTGACTCTTTCCTGCTCTCTAGATATGTGACAGCCCTCTTGCTGTTAGGAATGAAATACCACCTTGTTGTACTGCAGCTTTTCTTCTTTTCAGGGAGAGGGGTGGTTTTTCAAGGCAAAGCTTCTCTGTGTAACAGCTCTGGCCATCCTGAAACTTTCCCTATAGACCAGGCTGGCGTCAGACTCACAGAGATCCACCTGCCTCTGCCTCCCAAATTCTGGGATTAAAGGCGTGTACCACCATCACCTGGCAAGCATTTTCTTAATGATTGATTGGGGAGGGCCCGGCCCATTGTATGTGATGCTGTTTCTGTACTGATGATCCTGGGTTCTATATGAAAGCAGGCTGAGCAAGCTAGTAAGCAGCACTCCTCCACGGCCTCTGCATCAGTTCCTGCCTCCAGGTCCTGCCCTGCTTTAGCTCCTGTCCTGACTTCCTTCCATGATGGATTACAGTGGAGAAGTATGAGCCAAATAAACCCTTTCCTCCCCAAGTTGCTTGGTGATGGTGTTTCATCACAGCAATAGTAACCCTAACTGAGATAAGTGGAATGCTGACTCCCCCCTCTTACCTTCTGCTATGTGCTGAGCTACAGATTTTTCATTCTGTGCACATAGGGTATAGTGCAGACAGTATGGATACCAAATGCCCATGTGCCATGGGTGTGGCGATAGTAAAAGTGACCCTTCTACAGAAGCAGCACACTTAGGGCAGGGTGGGAAGTGGTTTCTGCCTGAGGAGATATCTCACGGTGAAGGTCCTTGTTACTCACCCCAGTCTCACTGTCCGCAGGTGCAGCAGGAGAGAGACGAGCTCTATCGTAAGTTCACTGCAGCCATCCAGGAGGTGCAGCAGAAGGCGGGCTTCAAGAACCTGGTGCTGGAGCGGAAACTGCAGGCACTGAATGCTGCTGTGGAAAAGAGGGAGGTGCAGTTCAACGAGGTGCTGGCAGCCTCCAACTTGGATCCCACAGCACTAACACTTGTGTCCCGCAAACTTCAGGTAGGTGCTGATGGCTCCTGAAGCACGTGCGGTGTTTGTTTTTTTGTGGTGGGCCCTTCAGTCTTGCTCTTTGCCCTATTGAGTAGCACAGAGACTCCTCAGTTCAGTCGGGCTGCCATGGTTTTTGCATTGAGAACAACGTGTGTGCTGCAGGTCTCTGGGCACTGGAACTGTCCTCTTGAGAACAGTGCATGTGCTGCAGGCCTCTGTGCACTGAAACTGTCCTCTTGCAGTTTTGTCTCCTACCCCCTACCTATCTTTTTTGGAGACAGGAACAAATGCATAGAGATCACCTTTCTCTGCCTCACGAATGTTGGCATTCAGAGTATATATATCGCACCCAGCTTTGTGGTCTCTCTTAAGCTGTCCCAGTCCCTCACTGACCCTAACCTGAATCTCTGGTGTTCCCCTTTTGCTGTGGCTCAGAGTGTGCCAAGCCTTAGTTTATAGTTGGACTTTCTTTGGACTGCCAGCTCCCGAATAATGACGTGGAGACTTTTTATTAATTATGAAAGCTTTGCCTTGTTACAAGAGGAGACCACTTGTTTCCCGGCCGCGCTGCAGCTCAGACCCAAAAATAATCACACAGAAACCATACTATTTAAATCACTGATTGGCTCATTAGCTCTAGCTTCTTATTGGCTAACTCTTAGATATTAATTTAACCCATTTCTATTAATCTGTGTATCGCCATGTGGCTGTGGCTTACTGGGAAAAGTTCCAGTATCTGTGTCTGGCAGGGCTCCATGGCTTCTCTCTTTCTCCTCCTTCTTCCTCCCAGCATTCAGTTTAGTTTTCCCCACCTACATCTATTCCCTGCACAGGCCCAAGACAATTTCTTTATTAACCAATGGTATTCACAGCATACAGAGGGAAATCTCACATCACCTTCCCTTTCCTGTTTAAATGAAAAGGAAGCTTTTAACGTTAACATAGTAAAATTACATATAACAAAACAGGTATCAAGCAAGAATTACAGTTACAGTGGGTGGCGGTGGCACACTGCCTTTAATCCCAGCATTCGGGAGGCAGAGGCAGGTGGCTCTCTGTGAGTTTGAGGCCAGCCTGGTCTACAAGAGCTAGTTCCAGGCCAGGCTCCAAAGCTACAGAGAAACCCTGTCTCAAAAAAAAAAAAAAAAAAAAAAAAAAGAATTACAGTTACAATATTGGTATCTACTTTATCATAACTAAGGAAAATTATAACTATATAGGCTTGTTTCCAACTAGCTCTTATAACTTAAATTAACCCATTTATATTAATCTATGTTCTACCACATGTCTCATTACCTCTACTCAGAACTGTGTGTCCCACTTCCTCTGTGTTTGGCTGACGAATTCCACCTCTCAGATTCTCTCCCCTGCTATGCACCTCCCCCCCCAATTCCTCTCTATCTCCCTGGAAGTCCCGCCTGTTCTTCCTGCCATTCAACACTTTATTAAACCAGTCAGAGGGTACCTTGGTAGAGACAAAGATTGTCCTGCAACATTAGTCACTGAATGGAACATAGGTAACCTGAGGGGGAAAGCTGATTTGGGAATCTATGAGTCCAGGGTCCTCTGTTACTTGAGACAGGCAAAGGCTCTGCCACTGTGAGGACCCCAGGATGCTGACTTAGGACTGGGGCAGTGACAATGAGGAGAGTCAGGCACAGCGGCCATGGAACGTAACCACTTTCCTAGGACCTGGGGAGCAATGTCTGAACAGAGCTGAGAGCATCACTTGTTCGTGTGCTGTGCTGGGAAATCTAGGTGGGGACAGTGATAAATGGACAAGCAGCACTTCAGCTACCATGGGGACAGAAAATTCTATCACCTGAAAAGTCAGGAGGCTGAACCTCTGGCAGAACCTCCAGTCTTACCTGTCGCCTACTCGCTAAGCTGTAGCAGGCCAGGGCCCTCTGCCCTACCTTGCTTGGAGGAAGGGAGCATAGGAGGAGCAGGCAGCACAGCTCGAGGGAGTGTGGCTGACATGAGCAGCAGCTGGCTGATGTGACTGATAGCTTCCAGACTGTGGTTGGCCCCCTGTAGTTATGGTTATCTTTCTCAAGGTCCTTTGTAGACAGGTGTGGTGCTTTGTTCCCAGATTCACTGATGCTTCTAGGATGTGAACAACTGTATCTGAAGCCCCAACAGACCCAGTAAGGGGGCTTACAATTCATCCCAAAGCAGATCCTCTAGGGCAGAAGGGTGCATGGCTTCTCTCTTGCTTGTGCTGTGCTTGCAGCAGAAAGGCAGAGCTGCAGCTGCTGATGGAGAGGTTCTATTCTGAGAAGTACTGTGCCATCAGCACACAGGTTAGCTGAACTTGAGTGCCAGTTTCTCACTACAGACTTCAGGCTCAAAGGACTAACTTTATGTAAGCCAGTCTATGTAGCAGTTTTGTTTGCTGCACTTTCCTGTCCCTGTGATCAGAGGCATGCAACATTAGGCATTGCAGGAAGCCCCTTGCTGAGCCACCCTAGGGAGTACCCAGCAGTTGGGGGATGCAGACTGAGGGTGATTGCAAAGACTTGACTGATGTACTGATGAGTATAATGACAATGGAAATATGGAAGGTTCCGAGCATAGAAACTGGATCAGAAGAGCCCACTCTACCTTGAGTGGGAAGTGCAGGGGTGAGGGAGCAGGACTGGTGAAGGGTAAGAGAGACAGAAACTCCCAAGAGTTTGTCAAGGGGCTGACCCGAGAGGACTTTTGTCTGACTGAAGATGGTTCGGGAGAGTCCAAGGTGACATCCTCAGCAATGAGGGCAGTTCACTTACAGAGGAGTAGTGTTGTGGGGTAGCTACCAGAGAAGACTGCTTGGACACGGATTTAAGCAAATAGAAAATCTTCATTAGTGGACGATGGTGGTGTGTGCCTTTAATCCCAGCAGTCAGGAGGCAGCGGCAGGTGGATCTCTGTCAGTTCAAGGCCAACCTGCTCTACAAAGTTATTTCCGGCATGGCCAGGGCTGTTACACAGAGAAACCTTGCGTTGAAAAGAGAGAGAGAGAGAGAGAGAGAGAGAGAGAGAGAGAGAGAGAGAAAGCAAGCCTTTACTAGCTGGCTTGCGACTGCACTGGGTGTTTGGGATCCCATTGTAGCACTGAGTGAAATTTCTCAGGATGAGCTTTTAAGCACAAAAACCATGTTTTAGGTTGACATATTTTAGTTAACAAAACAGCTAAAGCATATCTAAAGAAGCCAGAAAGACTTTCCCAGAATTATGGGAGTTGATGGATTAGGTCCTTGTTTTCATTTTGGCAGGTGATACTATTTACGTGTTGAGTTTTACAGCCTGAATGGTATTTCCATCATGAATCAGTTGGACTAAAGTCTGGGGCCTACTCTGGTCTGAGGCCATTATGGTGTAGGTCCTGGTCCAATGGGTAGAGGTGTGTGGTGACGTGGGTTACTTGGTAGGCCAGTTTGCAGGCTGTAGGTCTTCTTGGCCTTGGCAGCAGTGGGACCCTGAGGCTGATCTCTGCATTGCTGTGCCCTGTCCCAGGTTGTAGCGGGTCAACTGGAGTAGAGGCATAGAGGGAAACACGATCCTATCTGAGGAATGGGGAGGAAGGAGCTGTCTTTAAGTACTAGTCACTTCCCTTTGCTATCAAGGAACTGAGGCATGGGGTTCTCAGTTGTGGCCATCCTGATCAGGGTTTATTTAGCTCTAACTGTGGGTTAGCTCTGCCTCTCCTGGTCATTACTACTCCTTTCATGGAAGTTTCATGGTTTTGTTGTTTTTGTTGCTTTTTGCTTTTGAGACAGGGCCTCTCTATGTAGTCGTGGCTGTTTTGGAATTCAATCTGTAGACCAGGCTGGCCTTGAATTCACAGAGATCCACCTGTGTCTGCCTCCCGAGTTCTGGGATTAATGCTTGTACACTGTAAAGATTTGTCACTTGTATTAGTTTAATAAAATGCTGACTGGCTGGTAGCAAGGCAGTAAGTATCAGTGAGACGACCAGACTAAGAGAATTATGGGAAGAGGAAGGCAGAGTCACAGAGTCACCAGCCAGATGCAGAGGAAGCAGATGAGAATGCCATTCTGAGGAATGGTAACAAGCCACATGGCTAAACATAGATAAGAATTATGGGTTGATTTAAGTATAAGGTAGCTAGTAATAAGCCTGAGCTACCGGTAAGCCAAGCATTTATAAGTACTATCAGCCTCTGTGCGGTAATTTGGGAAGCAGCTGCCGGGTATTTGGGAGTTGCTGTCAGGACAGAAACTTTTGCCTACTCTTAACTTTTCTACATAATAGTCCATCATCAAGGGAAGTCAGAGAAGGACCTGGAAGCAGGGATTGAAACAAGCCATGAGGAATGATGTTTACTGATTTGTTCCCCTGGCTATCCTATCTATTGTCTTATCCCATCCCTGGTGTACCATCCAGGACCACCTGCCAGGGATGGTACCACACATGTGAGTGGGGCCCTTCTGCATTAACCGTTAAGAAAATGCCCTACAGGCTTGGCAGTGGTGGTGCACACCTTTAATCCCACAGCACTTGGGAAGCAGAGGCAGGCGGATTTCTGTGATTTCAAGACCAGCCTGGCCTACAGAGCGAGTTCCAGGACGACCAGGGCTACAGAGAAACCTTGTCTCAAAAACTAAACAAAACAAAAGGTGGAGAGCAATAGTCCTTTATTGCACTCAATATCGACCGCTGTCCTATGTCACATGTCTTAGGTCACACACACACACACAGATCAACTGCTGTTGTTGACCTCGGCAGTCTGGGGCTTCGTTGTAGAAATGTAGGCAATACAAAGACACCACTACTGTCCCTTGTTGTTCTTGCTTATGCCTTGGATACCTTTCCTGCTGACAGACTTCTGTGGATACATGTATGGGCTGAAGTGACCTCTACTGCTATTCCCTGAGCCTTTCCAACCCTTAGGGAACCCCTAGACTAGTGTCCACCTGTCCACGTCTATCAGATGACAAATATTAAAGTCACCTTTGTCTCTCTCCTTAGGATGTTCTAGAGTCAAAGAATACCACCATCAAGGATTTACAGTATGAGCTGGCCCGGGTCTGCAAGGTATGGCTCACCCCCCCCCCAGCCCCACCTTCCCCCTCGGGGCTATCTCTTCCCATGTATCTAGCTTCAGCTTGTGAACATCATAGGCGAAGGGCTCTGAGGACCTCTCTCATCTCTTCTACACACTTCATTCAAGAGGTCGGTGTGTTAATCCCCATGTGGTGTGCTCTCATAGCCTTAGGGCTTGAGAGTGACCTTGTCCTGGTGTTGCTTATAGTCCTGCCAGGTACACACTTAGGACTCTGTCTCCTACCATGTTCAGATCTGTTTTTCCCTCACCCTCCTTTGCTCACCTGACCTCTGAGTCAGTTGGGAAGTCTCTGCTCTCCAGAGAGTGCCCGTTGCAGTTCGGCTCTCAGCCTTTCAGACTCCTTCAGAGTCTAGAACAGCTCCACACCCTTCTGTGCTAGCGTGTATGCACAGACTCCAGATGGTCCGTAAGTGGACTCTCCTGCTGTGCTTTGTCCACTGTCTTGCCAAGGATTTAACAAGAGCAGCCACCCCACAAGTGGCTTAATTCTATGGGGGAAGGCATGATATCCCTGTTCAGTTGTTTAGGGCCTTATGAGGACATTCATGTCGTCTGATTTTAGTTTTAAGCATATTTGTTTGGCTGGACAGTGGTGGTGCACTCCTTTTTCCCAGCACTCTGGAGGCAGAGGCAGGCAGATATCTGAGTTCCAGGACAGCCAGGGCTACACAGAGAAACCCTGTCTCAAAACAGACAAACAACAACAACAACAACAAAAAACAAAACATAAAACATGCAATCAACAAACAATTAACCCTCTGCATAGATAGAAGTAATAGAAGTGTCTGTTACTGCTTCCCAGCCCTCCCTAGAGGCCAGGCTAGAGCTTTCCTTCTCACACCTGTCCCCCAGCTGAGCACAGTCAGGGCTGTCTTCTGTGTGTGCTGCTCTCGGGAGCTGGGGAGATCGTTGACTTTTATCTGACCTGGTGTCTGAACCTGGGGTGTCTGGTAACCAGCGCTCAGCCTCAAGTTCTCTCTGGAACCCATCCTTCCTTGCATTTTTCTCTGTATTCCAGGGATTAGTCTCTTTACTAAACCGCAGTAAGGATAATGAACCTTTTGTTTTTGTTTGAGACACAGCCCCACTATATAACCCTGGCTGGCCTGGAACTCACAGAGATCTGAGTGCAGAGATTAAAGGTGTGCACTGAATCCTAGCTAGTGACCCTTTTGATCATTTGCTGTGAGGCTCACAGCCTCCAAGCAGTCTCATTTCATTCAGTTCATCAACACCTGTAATCCTAGCACTTAGGGGTGCTGAGGCAGGAGGATCATGAAAAAGGATACAAAGTGAGTCCCTGTCTCAGACAAATGAATTAAACATAGTCAAGTCTTTACAATCACCTAGTGAAATCTTCCCAATAAAAAAAAATGTGCATTTTAGCCAGGCCATGGTAGTACACACCTTTATCACAGCACTTGGGAGGCAGAGGCAGGTGCAGGTCTCTGAGTTTGAGGCCAGCCTGGTCTACAGAGCAAGTTCCAGACAGCTAGGGCTACAGAGAGAAGTGCTGTCTCGAAAACCAAACAAACAAAAAGTGGCTTTTGGAGTTTGGAAAGATGGTTGAGTGGTTAAGGACACTGGAGTCTGATGGTTGAGTGGTTAAGGACACTGGAGTCTAGTTCTCAGCATCCGCGTGGTTAGCTCACAGCTACCTATAACTTCTACTCCTAGGAATCTAACTTTCTCCTCTGGCCTTTTTGGGCATCTGCACATAGGTGTACGTTTCCAGACGTATACCCACACACACACATATATATATAGTAACAAAAGTACTAGACATGCTATTTTTGAGCTGGGTGTGGTGGCACACCTTTAATGCCCAACTCCTGGTGGCACTTAGGAGGCAGAGACAGGTGGATCTTGGTAAATTATAGGCCAGCCTGGTCTATATAGCAAATTCCAGGACATTAATGGAGACCCGGTGTAAAGAGTCAAAAAAAAAAAAAATTACAAGTCATGTTGATTATATATTTCATACAATATATTTCATACAATATATTCTGATCCTTTTCTTTTCTTTCCCCAACTACTCCCAAACCCCCTGCGTCCTACCCACTCAACTTTATACTTTCTCTCTTTCAAAAACAAAAGCAATATGTAAAACACATAAAAATGAAAAAAAAAGACCAATAAGACAAACATATGCCAAAACAAAACAAACACAAGAAAAAGTACACACACACACACACACACACACACACACACACAGATGGAGTTCATTTTGTGTTGGCCAGCTACTCCTGGTCAAGGGACCTGCCCTAGAATGTGGTTGCTGTGCCCAGTGACACTGCATGGAGAAAACTGACTTTCCCTTGAAGCAGTGAGATTTTTGAGTGCTAAACTGTTCTAGGAGAAATAGCAAGTTCTAGCCAGCCTGGGCTATATGGTGGAGTCTTTTCCTAGACAGAAATAAAAACGAAATTCCAAATATCAGAACCTGATTAGCAGAGAACCCCCTCTTCACGAGGAAGTCACTTGTCTTTGTTGGCCCCAACAGCACCATGTCTGAGGTTCAGGGCTATATGTAGCCTCTTCAGCGTCACTGGGGAGGTGGAGGGTGCTGAGGTCTCTGGAGGCAGGGAACAGATGCCATTCCACCTTGGCAGGAAAGGGACAGAGACCCTCACTAGGAAGTACTTGCTAAAGAGCCAGGAGTCTGCCCAACTCTCAGTTCTTCTGAGTCTTTACTGTAAGGGATGTTATGAAGTCATCAGCATTGCTAGCACAGAAGAACCTTGGACAAATGCTTGGCCCAGATCTCCTACCCCAGCTTTCATGGGGTGGAGGCTACCTCTGGGTGGGCCATAGCATGTGGACTCCTTTCCTCCCTGACATTTCTCTCTCCTTTCAGGCCCACAATGACCTACTGCGTACATATGAGGCAAAGTTACTGGCCTTCGGGATCCCTCTGGACAATGTGGGATTCAAGCCCCTGGAGACAGCAGTGATTGGACAGACACTGGGACAGGGCCCTGCAGGACTTGTGGGTGCCCCTACATAGCCACCTTCTGGGAGCTTCCGCCTTTAGAGTTGGCCTGCCTCATTTTCCAAAAGATAGCTATTCTACTCCAAGAACAGACTTCATCAGCAATGAAAGTTTTTCCATATTTCCTTTGTATTCTCTGTCTTGGTTGGGAAGAAGTGCCTGCAAGGCTTCTGAGGTCTCTTTGTCTACCTGCTTCCATACACTGCCCGGTTTGTGTCGTATTTGCCCCTTTGAGTCCTACCTCCAACCTCTGCGTACTAACCTCTCCAGCAAGAGGGCGACTCAGTGTCCTCTGTTGAGCATGAAGCCCATGCTCTTGATTTGGCTGGGCAGCTCAACCACAGAGGACTGGCAGGCTTCCTTTTTGGTCCAGGCTCTGCACAACCTCTCCTCTCCATGACTTTTCTTACGCAGCTCAGGACCACTTTGCCTAGGGGTGGCACTGCCCGCAGTGGGCTGGGTACTCCAAATCAATTATTAATCAAGAAAATGGCACACAGATTTGACCACAGGCATCTGATGGTGTCATCTCCTCATTCCAAGTGACTAGCTTGTGTCAAATTGATAAGAACTAACCAGTGCCATCTCCTTTGTGATGGTGAAAACCTAAGAGAAACCCAGAAGGTGCTGGGAGACAGTGAGTTACCTCAGTCCAGGAGCTGCTTGGTCTTGGTCTCCCTGGGAGAATTCAGCTGCATATTGCAGCTGGGTTAACTGGGGTTTGGGAGACAATCTGAACCTTCCTGAGGACTGGGAATGGGAGAGTCCTCTTTGGACAGCTCCATGGAATCTAGAGCTCGTGACTCTAGACATGAAGACGATCACAGGCTTCAGAGGCGGTAGCTAGTGAAGGGATGGAGGAAGGTAAGAGGAAGGTGAGGCTGCATTGTGAACTGAGGGGCGCTCAGTTGAGAGCGTGTATACAGAGAGACAAGTCACCCTTGGGCTAGCCTCTTACGTCCCTGATTATACTGGAAGGAGGGAAGAGGAAGGGAAAAAGAAAAAACAGGAAGTGGGACTGGGCTGTAAAATCGCAAATCTTGCTCCTAGTGATATACTTCTTCCAGCAAAGATGTCACTTCCTTAACCTTCCCAAACAGTACCCCCAGGCTGGGGCGAGGGTTCAAACACGTCAGCATTTTCATCCTGACCATCATACCAACACAGAACTCTGTATACAGTTTGGGAAGCTACAGATGATTATAAGCGGCCATGTGGATGCGAAGAGCTGAATCTAGTCCCCTGCAAGGCAACACGTTATTTTTCTTTTGTTTTTGTTTTTGTTTTTTTGAGATAGGGTTTCTTTGTGAAGCCCTGGCTGTCCTAGAAGTCTATCTGTAGACCAGGGTGGCCAAGAACTTAGATATCTGCCTGCCACTGCATTTGAGTGCAGGGACTGAAGTGATGTACCACCAACTCAACTCCTAATTACTGAGCCAAATCTGCAGGCCTGCAGCACTTTTTTATGAAGAGCTACCTCTATCTTCAGTCACAGCAATGAATCTAGAGAGTCCTGCCATTCTTTCTGAGGGACTTGTGGGAGAACAGACTTGTTGCAGGAAATGCTTCCACAGTGTGCTGGCACCTGCTTTGCTCTAAGGCAGATTTGTCTCTAAGAATGAGGCCAAGAAAAGCTAGGCAACATAGGTTGGAGGACATGCATTTCTCATTGGAGGAGGCTCTGGTACTGGTGGGACTTTCTTGCCTATAGAGACCTTTCCAATGAAAGAGATAATTTATGTAAAGAGTGTCTCTTCAATAAATGATTGAGTTGGCTCCTCCCTTGCCCGCCCTCAGCCTCCCTCAGTGTCGGCTGTGACAGGGCCTCGGGGACTTATAAGGCTCGGGTCCACTTTGGACCCCAACTCTCCCTCCACCTGGGGACTGTTGCCAGGTAGCCAGCCAGCTCCTTGTCTCTCCTCCCGCCAGCCACTGGTGGAGGCATGGGGGTTGGGCCCGGGAGATGGGCGGCGCCCGGGAAGGGGTGATGGTGGGGGTGGGGTGAGACTGGGGTGGGGTGGCATGGGGTGGCATGAGGAGTTCGCAGGGGGAGGTGCCCAGATAGGCTCAGGCAAAGCGGTCTGATCGCTTGGGGCATCCTTCCAGACAGGGGTAGACACTGTCTTGCTGGTGCCCTACCTACGGAGGTGCCTCGACGGGTCTGGTAGTGGCTAGGCGCTAGTCTCTCATCATTGGGGAACTGTAGTTTCCTACTAATCCTCCTCCTCCTCCTCCTCCTCCTCCTCCTCCTCCTCCTCCTCCACCTCTTCCTCTACCTGCCCCCCCCCCTCCTCCTGCTCCTGCTCCTGCTCCTCTTCCTCCTCTCCCCAGAGTAACCCCGTCCTCCTGGAGAATCTAGAAAGCCTGGGATTGGGTTAGAGAGACTGTGTGCCTGTGCGCGCCTGTGCTTTCTCGCTATCCGGAGAAACCATGGTTCTCTCTTTGGAACTTGGAATGCCAGCTCCCAAGATTCCAGTTCTGCCCCATGTCCACCCCCACCCCCAGTCCCACCCCTATCCCCTATCGCCAGCCAGCGGGGCCATCCAGTCCCCCATTGAAGGTGCCTCCTCGTGAAGTGGGCCTCACGCCCGCCCTGCACGTGGGGGAGAAGAGAGAAAGGCAGGCTGTTCAGCGTGGAAGACGCTCCTGGGCGGACCGGTGGGGCCGAGGGAACTTGGAACTCGGGTCTTGGCGCTCTCTGCTCCTGGACGGTGGGGGGCAGAGGCAGGTCCCGGGCCAGAACTCTCTTGGGCTATGTATCCTTCTTTCCACCGGGCCACCCGGCATCCCCCACCTACCGCTCCTTCCATCAAGGAAGAGTCAAGACGGCACGTCTGTCTGTTCCTTCTGCACCCACCTCTGGGGCTGAGCAGGACCTTCCTGAGCCTGGACTGTCATAAGGATGCTGTCGGCTGGCATCTGAAATCCACAGCACAGCTCAGCTCGGCACAGCACAGCTGAGCGCAGCACAGCACAGACCTCTCGGCTTGGCTCTGGGTAGATAGATAGATAGATAGATGGATGGATGGATGGATGGACGGACGGACGGACAGACGGACAGACAGACAGACAGACAGATAGATAGATAGATAGATAGATAGATAGATAGTTCCGCCGGAGGGCTTAGTGGAAGAGCGCCTGAGCGTCCAGCTTCTTGACTCCATGCCCATCTCGGTGGTTGGCCTCCACCTCACAGATTCCATCCCTGCGCCCAGGCCTTGGCCTCTCAGGTTGGGTTCAGGAGGCAACCAACTGTTGATACCTGGCATCCCATCCCACCGGGGACAAGCCCACCAGCCGAGCGAGCCCTAGAGGGCACCAGTGCGTGGGCGCTGCCCCTCGTGCACGCGCGCATGCCCGTAGGCACTCGGGCCTGCACACAAGCGTACACACACACTCGCGCATGCAGAAACACACTCAAGCACGCGTGTACGCAAGCACGCGATACGCAAGCAGGTGGACACCCAGACGCACATCCACACAAGCACGCACGCACAGCACACACACACACACAGACACACACACACACACACAATCATGCAAAAATGCACACACTCCCGAGCAGACCGAGACAAAAGCAGGCAAAACCCCAGACACACGTGCGCACTCACAAGCATGCACGCACAACACACGTGCACCCACATGGGGCTTCTCACACAAGCACGCACATTGCACATTACACACAGGCACGCAGGCACACAGGCACGCAGGTGGGAGCACACCCCATCCCCGGGAGTGGGTGGGTGGAGCCTGCTTGCTCTTAGACCGCGTCCACCGGGTGCATTGCGTGGAGGGGGCGAGGCGATCTCTTCCTGAACACATACACAGCGTTGTGCTGTGCGGGGCTGCGGTGCCAGGCGCACCTAGGCCCCTGGCCCTCGCCCTTCGCCCCTCGCTCCGGCTCCCAAGGGCATGCCGGTGGCCGTCCAGCTTCCACCCGTGACACCCACCCCGCGCAGCGAGTTAGTCTTAATTTCCTTCAGTGGTCCTGGCATTTCCTTCCCCACTCGGGTGTTTCCCCTCGTGGGTGGGTTTCCTGCGTGCCTGAGGGCTCTGAGCGGTGGGTGGATTTGGAACCTTGTGAGAGGTGCGCCGTCTTTCCGGGGTGCGGATTGTCCTGGTGGTGTCCTGGTCCTGGCTGGCCCTCGGCCCGCGGTCGCGAAGGCCAAAAGGGGCCGAAAGAGAAAAGGAAGAAAAAAAAAAAAGCCTACAGCACCCGGTATTCCCAGGCGGTCTCCCATCCAAGTACTAACCAGGCCCGACCCTGCTTAGCTTCCGAGATCAGACGAGATCGGGCGCGTTCAGGGTGGTATGGCCGTAGACGGAGGCGTGTGTCGCTGTCGTGCCCCAAGAGCCTGCTGCTGCTGCTGCTGCTGCTGCTGCTGCTGCTGCTGCTGCTGCTGCTGCTGCTGCTGCTGCTGCAACACTGGCCTGCGCTCCTGCACGCCAGCCCGCCCCCACGCCCCCACGCGCTCCTGAGTCCGAGTCCGGAAGGACGACGGACGGACGGACGGACGATCCCCTCCCTCTAACCCGCCCGCCAGCCAGCCTGCCAGCTAGGCCGCCCTCTGCCCCGGCCCGGAGCCGGGCTCCAGGGCCAGCAGCAGTCGCCAGGCAGCCCTACCCACCGACCTTGTCTCCCTCGTCTCCCGTTCCTCATCGGGCACCCTCACCGCGCCCCAACCGTGCCCCGCAAGCTGGCTCCTCCCTTGCCCGCCCTCAGCCTCCTTCGGTGGGGAATCCACGGGTGTCGGCTTTGACGGGGCCTCAGGGCTTTCCAGGGCAGGGGTCGGCTTTGGACCCCGACTCTCCCTCCACCTGGGGACTGTTGCCAGGTAGCCAGCCAGCTCCTTGCCTCTGTTGTCCCGCGGGCCACATGGGGCCCCCTCTGGTGGAGGCATGGGGGTTGGGGTTGGGTCCGGGGAGATGGGCGGCGCCCGGGAAGGGGTGATGGTGGGGGTGGGGTGAGACTGGGGTGGGGTGGCATGGGGTGGCATGAGGAGTTCGCGGGGGAGGTGCCCAGATAGGCTCAGGCAAAGCGGTCTGATCGCTTGGGGCATCCTTCCAGACAGGGGTAGACACTGTCTTGCTGGTGCCCTACCTACGGAGGTGCCTCGACGGGTCTGGTAGTGGCTAGGCGCTAGTCT